TCCCGGAAGGCGAAGACGCGCAGGCAGGGCAGCGGCTCCTCGGAGGCCCGGCCGTCCGCCCAGGCCCGGCCCGCCACGTGGAAGAGGACCTGCACGAGGGGCCGGGCCGAGTAGATCTTCTCCCGCAGTGTGTACACCCGCAGCTTCCAGTTGAGAGGAAAGGCATTGGTGAGTCTGAAGGGGCTGGCCAGCAGCAGGAGGTCGGGAGGCAGCCCCTGCTCCACAGAGAAGGGCCCGTAGCTGGCGTTGAGGAGCGGCAGGCTCCCGGACTTGTAGATGAGGAAGGATTCCACGCGGGACTGCAGGCTGGAGTTACGCATCATGTCCTGGTTGGCCTCCTTCAGGAAGAAGGAGACCTCGGCGCGGTGGATGCGGTAGGTCACCGGCAGGTAGGTGGGCAGCAGGGAGAATCGCTGGATGCCCTCCAGGATGCCTCGGCTCTCGGCCACTGTGGGGAGGAACGGAGGCCGGGGTTAGCACCGTGGGGAGGAACGGAGGCCGGGGTTAGTAACACCCGGGCCTGACCCAGAGAGCGGACAGCCAAGCATCTGCCCCTAACCCGCAGCCCTGCGTTTGCGCCCAGGATGCAAACCTTCACGCAACACCTCCTATCTGCATGAAGCCATTTGATGAGACATTCATGTGTCAGGTATCTGTACACAGAAGATACACGGATCATATAGTATATATGGGCCGTGTGCATATTGCATATCTGCACATATATTATGTGTAGGACATCAGGCATGCATGCATATGTATTCTTTGCGGGAGAGGGTAGGTACCTGGCTGGCACCATTAGCTGACAGGCCGGAGCAGGAGAGAGGGAGTCCCCGGTGCCACTGAGCGTGCCCAGAGCTCAGCGCAAGGCTGCAGACGCTGCCTCAGTTTCCCCTAACGCCACTCCACGTCCACTAAAGACATGCTGCCTTTGAATGCATCTAGAATACGTGCTTTATTGCTTGAAATGAGCACCTCTGCTTCTACTTTGCTTTGGGGGAGGAAGATACTCACAAACAAAGGGAAACACTCGGGATCACACAAGGAAAAGTAAGTTGTTGTCAATAAACCAAAAAATACGGTTTTCTATTTTCTTTCCTGAACATATCCCCCCCCCCTCAGGTCAGAGTGGGAGAATCAACATGTTATTTTTACAGTTTGCCTTATACTCTGTGAGAAAAACACAGGCAGAGAAATTACATAACCTAAAGAAAGAAACACGTTATTGAGTTTTTCAAATGGAAGTTGTGGTGTGGCAGAGCTGCCTTTGTAGGCCAAGCAACTGCAGCCAGTGTCCATCCGGTCCACCCAGGTCTCCAGCCCAAGTGGACACGTCCAGTGTCCATCCTGTCCACCCGGGTCTCCAGCCCACATGGTCACGTCCAGTGTCCATCCTGCCCACCCATGTCCTCTGCAGCCTGCCAGGCCCCCTCCAAAGCGGTGTGGAGCGCAGGGGTCAGTGAGGAGCTCAAGGGGGTCTGCAGCCCCTTGCCTGCACAGCTTGTGGGCCTTCTTTGCTTCTTGGGGCTTGCCTGCAGCCGCGCACCTGACACAATGCAGTTTTGAAAACGAATAGCACTCAGCTGCATCTAAACGCGCCTGTCACCGCAAACGTCTGCTTCCCAGGGCTCCGTCCTGCGGAGATTCCTCTGTGGACACGGCGCCCACCGAGGATGCGGACCTCACAGGGGGCGCCAGGCTGCTCCCTGACAAGTTTATTTTACCCTGACACAGGAAATACCCGGTTCTAAGCTGACGCCAGTCTCCCTAAAGCAGGGTTTCCCTGAGGCGTCTTCTCGCCGCCTCCCACAAAATTACTTGATGACTGGTGTTTGCCATTCAAATTCTTTATCACCAACAACCCGGTACCTTACCCAGCAAAGGGAGTCTCCATGAGCCAGCAGAGGGCCGGAGTGTCCCCTCCAGCACTCAGCGTCAGACTGACCACAGGAGGTGGCTGGGTCTCGGGCCCTGACCCCGTGAGTGAGGAACGCTGGTGTCTAAGCAGCAGGTCACCAGGAACAGCCAGCTGTGCAGCCTGCAGCCCGGCCGGCTGGATCAACACACGCCATGTCCAGCAAAGTCCCTCCCCGAGCTGAACCCCTGCCTGAGGACAGGGTCCCCTCCCCCTGCCTCCCTGCTGCCCAGTGTGACAATGGAGCCTCAGCCAGCCACAGGCCTGCAGCTGAACTCGATAGCAAGGGCCACCACCACAGCCACCGGCCTCGCGTCAACGCTTGCAGACTCCCAGAAGAGTCTGAAAGGAAGCTGGGGCCCCACGACCTAGATAGTCCCCTTTGCTCCCTTCTAGATCTTTCCTTAGGGCAGTACAATTGTGACTAGAAGATAGAGGCTGAGTAGAAGAAAATAAGAACAGTGAAGCGGATGCATCGCCGGACACAGAGACCTCCTGTGGACCGCGGGTGGACTCGAACTTGGGTCTTGGCCCCCACCCACTTCCCAGGCCACCACCTTCGGCCCCCGCCCACAGGTGGCAACTTACAATCCAGTGAGGGATCCAGAAGAGCGTGTGAAACGGCCACCTCAGAATATTGTGTGCTGATGAAAACACGGAGTTACGGACCCGAGCCCACAGAGCGGGAGCAAGGAGAGGCTGTGCGCGTGCAGCGGGCCGCTGCTCCACATGCAACCCCGCTCACCACCACCAGCACCACGTACAACCATGGACAACCCCGCTCACCACCACCAGCACCACGTACAACCATGGACAACCCCGGTTCACCACCACCAGCACCACGTACAACCATGGACAACCCCGGTTCACCACCACC